ATTTGGATGGAGTACAAACACAAATATGTAGAGTACTAATTATAAAACCTTATATTTGTATTTGTATTCTTTTTAAACTAAGCCTGAGTTATGTCGGATCCGATCTAATCCGATTGGATATGATAGGACTTGATTTGAATTCGAATTTTATTGGTAAATTGGATTTTTGGATCTGATTTGATTTAACTTGTTTTTTTTTTAATTAAAAAATTATTAAAAGAAAAAATAAATATACTAATTTAAATAAAATATAAATATTTTTAATTATTTTCATTATATATACATGCTTTTTATAAAAAAATAAATAATATAACAAATGTAATATAAAAAATATATAATATATCGATCGGATTGGATAGGGAGGGTGATCCGAATCCGATCTGAACAGGATTGATCCGAATTCAATCAATTCGGACTGGATCGGATCATGATCCGATCCATTTTCACCCTAGATATGTCTGAGTGACGTATTCATATATCTCCCGGAAATAATAAATTGCCAGAATAATAAGATAGCCAATTCCGGTCTTAAAAAGAATATTGTAGCAACGCTGATCGTATTCTGTGTAAAATGTTTCTGATTTTTATTAAAAATTTGAAGAATAATTAAGAGTAAAAATAATCTTTCTATTCGTTCTGTCAAATCTAATGCCCATAACATTTAAGTCAATTTAAAAAAATTCAAGGTATATTTAATTCTTCTATCCTTCTTATTTTCCTGAGGATATTGAGAGAAGGATACCAAATTACCAAATGAAAAGTGAAACCGAATTCATCAATTTATTTTCCACCGTATAGGTTGGGCCGTTGGGTGATAAAGATGATAAAARAACTCTGAGTCTGGGCGATCGGACCAGGATGGGGCCTACCTACCCATGACCACTTTCTGGTTTCTTGTTTATTTATGGGCTAAAGAGAAAGAAATGTCATTGTGTAAACGACATAGCCTTTTTGCTTTTGTTTGCTAATTATTACTTATTTGTTTGTAGGGAAGATTCGGTACCCAAACTCCCAAAGTATGGAGAGAGAGAGAGATTAAAGTTAAATTGTGTTATCAACTTATTATCTTGACAGCCTTATCCACAGGAATAACCCTTTTATCATATCAACCCTTTTTGATTTGTCTTCTCAACCTTGTGAAGAGACAACCGCTTACTTGCTTAGTTGTGAGGAGATGATGAATGCATGTTACATGGTGGATAATGGGTATCTTAGTAATTCCACCATCTTCATCATCCTCCATTGTTGTGTTTTGGACCTTTTGGTTTTGATTAATTTCTGCATCAGTTCTTGTTTATTGGTGACTTTGGTCTATTTGAATGTCTATATGTGTTTTGTGGCTTTTAAATGAAATTTATTTTCACCCCCCAAATTAAAAAAAAAAAAACGATATCAGTAAGTAAAGGGAGTTATTAAATAAAATCCCTAGAAGGAAGATGATACTTTGTGCTTATCAAATGATTCAAGAATGACATTGAACTATTCCTCCCCCTAAATACATGATTAAGGACAACTAGGGGTGCCAATCAAATAGGCGATTTTAAGATTTTACACTGCACTGAGCCCGGGTTTTCGATTTGGGCCCATTTAAATTTTGACAAAACTCCAATCTGAGCCCKYCCAAGTTGCACCCTGTATATTCAGACAGTTCAGAGGGTTAGAGCACTATAAGAACCATAAATTAACAGTCAAAAACTGTTTTTGGACTTCCTGGTTGGCTGGTTGTTAGAAATATTAACTTGAGAAAATTTACCCCAAATACTTACAACCCATACTGTTCATTGTTTCGGGTTTAGTTTAATATATAAAATACCTTCAAAAGATTATCTGGAATTATTCGTTGAATTGTAGTCTTTTTTTTTTTTTTCATCCGAGCAGGTGGAATGGTTGAAGTTGAACTAATTGGCCTGTGACCCAGCAACCAAAATGGTTGTGTCAGGTCTGAGTTTGACATCATTGGAAAAGAGAGGGAAAACAATGGAGGAAAATGAAAGTGACAGATTTCTTCTGAGGGAGGCAGGGGTGCAACTTGGGTGGGCCTACGCTGACCATTTTGTCAAATTTTCCAAGGGTCTGATCTGAAGCCCAGGCTTGACACTGTTTATTAACTGGGGGTACTCGAATTTGCACCCATCTAGTCCTTAGTCCACTAGTTCTTGTACTCTTTAATGCTGTCTTCATTCTCCAGCAACCATTCCCTTATTAGGGACAGTCTTGCCTGGGCTGTCTTATTTTATTTGAATTAGAAGAATGTTGATTACAAATTTATAATTACTCTTTTACCCACATCCTTTAAAAAAAAGGCCCTATCAGTCTTTTGGGTCTAGAGTTCTTCTCTACTGATTACCCTTATTCTTTACCAATTGATGGTGGTTCAGTTGCCAAGATTTCTGACTCGCTGTAACAGAGGCCTAGTATCAAATATCACTGCCACCAGGGTTGGAGGGTTAAGGGGACGGGATGGGTTATTTCTGTTGTATAGCGCCATAGAAAAACAAAAAAAGAAGAGAGAAAAATCCTCTTGATGAATTCTCATCAATTAGTGTAAAACTTAAAAGTGTTTAAATCTACAAGATCTGAAYTGCTTTCTGTTAGAAAATATCAATTTATTCAAGGACCTCACCTAACAGCTTAAGTTTTTAGGTTGAATGGTTCTTTGCGATGGTGTTAGAGCCACTTTGACTAAATGGTATAGTGTTCGATCCTCATTACCTCATTATAAATAATTAAGTTTCAATTCAAGATATGGGTGAACCTGTACTTGTTCACACTTCGAGCTCAATAAACTTTCGTATGAAAGGGCTTTTAGGTTGAATGGTTTTTTGAGACTTTCTAAAAATAATTTGATGTTTATATGTTCTATACTTCTTCTTCTCTACCGGTCTCAGGTTGCTTGGTTTCTCTCCTTGTAGATTAATGCTGAAGGAGACAACCCAACATATCCCTTAATTGTTCTAATCTGTTTCTTTTGGTATCCTTTTGTTGGTGCCACTAAAACCAGTCTGTTTGGTATTCTTGTTTCTTTGGCTACACTTGCTCTATGAATCAGCAGCTTTTATTTTTTATTTGTTGTTAATAAATCATTATCGTTTAGATCTTTTTCCACTGTTTCCTTCGTTCATTATATTCTCTTTTCTTTGGCTCATAATATATCTTGATGCATATAGTGTTGAAATTAATTATTGTGGGTAACGTATTAAATGGCAGCTTGTAATGATTTATGGCAAGGAATAATACATATAGGTGGGCATAGGTATGTCATTAATCTTATTTTGAATAGTGTGGGCCCATACAATGTTCCTCTTTAATGTCTGGATATCTATTTCATCATCATCATCATCTAAGTCTTATCCCAATTATATGGTGTCAGATACATGAATCCATTTCCATCGTTTCATTCTATTTAATGTCATATCTATTGTTAAATTATGAAAACTCGGTAATGTCGCTATTTGATGTGTTCAAATCATSKGTGACAATTATAAATAGCCCGAGGTATCGAAACAACTGTTAATGTTTTTGATACTGACCTGAATGTTGAACCAACAAGTTTTCGGTCATTGGGGGCGGGATGTCTCCATTTAAAAGAGGAAAGAAATATTCATGTTCATCTTTTATTGGATTAAACCACAAACAAGAAGAGAAACAAAACCGAGACAAATTAATTAAAATTCCAAGAGAGGCATTGTGCATGGTACAATTATATATAGTAGCCTTCTCATTATGGCATTGCGTATAATGATATATGATAATTGAATTTAACTTTTATGGTGTGCATGTAATATTAGGCAAGTATCCACTTTAAACAGTATCTGATCCCAATGATATTTACACTTTGATAGAGTAGAAAGTTAAAGACTTGTGTTTAATAGTGGATAGCTTCTATTGTGATTTGTGATTCCAAAAAATGGTTAATAAATCAATTAATTGAAAGTTTTTGTTCTTTTGCTTTTGGTTTCATATGGATCATCATCTATTTGATGATGGGTCCAAATCCTCTATAAATGGAACACGTGGCAATGAAAGAGAAATTCCTAATATAAAAATCAAACTTTTAAGAAGAATAGTAGAAAGAAAGACAAGAATATACTATTTTGATCTTCCAGGCAATTAAATAGAGTAACATACTTTGTTCCTAAGATTGAATAAATAGAAAAGAAAAGCCATGGCTTCCACTCAACAGTCTGGTGTGTCTAAGCATAATAAGTGACTTTGTCCAAAGTAATAATCAATCACTTTTAAGCTCTTTGTGGTACAAGGTTTAATTCCATATATGGTCTAAAGTTCTAATTTGTTACCCTCAACCCAAACAAGAATTTTATTGATCTATAGAAAAACTAGAGAGAGAGAAAGAGAGTTGAAGATGAAGGAGCTTTTCCAACAATTTTCAAAGCAGCCAAAAGCTACAGGATGCTCTCGCTGATAGATAGTCCGCAATAATCAACTGTTCAAGTCAAATCAAAGTCAATTCCACAGGCAAAACCATCACATACAATTTAACTTCGAACTTACGTCCGGTTCATTTTGGCATCCCCCACAAGATTCGGGGGACACGTGTATCCAATTCCTTGCATGTAGAGACTAAAGAGGGAGGACCCATCCATCTCTCTCTCTCTCTCTTTCTCTCTCCTCCCCTGAGCCCCTATAATTTTCCAAAGCTGCTAGAAAGCCAAAATCTTTGTTTTTTAAAATATTCTAAGCACAATGACGTAGATTCCTAAACGGCCGTTAGTGAATGCATTCACTCTGAACCAATCAACGCTAAAAAATGGAGTTCATTGGTCATGACGACGTCTACAACCGGTCTGTCAAAAGACTCAAAAACTCAAAAGTCGTTACCTGTCCTTGGCCACTATAACTCTATAACCAGTAACGAGTTTTATAAATTAGATTAGAACTAATGACAATGGAGCTATAGGAAATTTTTAGGAGAAAAGGTAGAAAAGAGACAGATAGATAGAGAGAGAGAGAGAGAGGAGAGAGAAGATGCGGTCAGCTTTTCCAATGAGAGAAAAGTCCAAACTGGTCTGCAGGCTGCTTTTGGCTGTAGCCATGGACTTACCGGTGAAAACGAAGCTTTTTCTGCCGCCTAATCGTGGACCTGTGCTTTCCCCCTTATACGTTTGTTCTTCTTGTCCTGCAGGCAGTTTGGGTTGGGTTGGGGCGGGGGGGTCTTTCCCCGTTTCCTACTCTAACAATTCTACTTCCCCCCTTTGGAGGGAGGTGTCGATTTAAGGGATTGGTAGAGTTGGAAACTCGAAATGAGAGAAGCAGAAGAGAATTTTGAGATTGAGAGACAGAAGAATAGAAAGGGACATGAAACGAAACAGACCCATTTGATAGGAGTATCTGAAACCTTCTCTCTTGATCCAACTCTGCTAGTTTCAAGCAGCTAACATACCACGAGTAATCCTATATATATATATATATATCACTGCAGGCACCATACAAACAGTAAGTTTCCTGATTCACCTCGATCTTTTATTCCTTGTTTGTGGGTCGTCTGGCTGCTTCATCAAATTTTTTCCCTTCACATGGTGTGTGGGACTTGGAAGTGAAGCATAGGTTCTCATAGCTACTTACTTTTACTTTACTTTCCGGCCATTAACTCAGCTTTCTGCTGTCTAATAACTTTGCTCTTAATTGCGTGCGTTTGTTGTGATCTAATTGCCTCATCAGTGTTTGAATCGGTTATGTATTTCAATCGAATTGGTTCTCTAGATCTCGAAAATTTATTGATGACCATGAAATTAATAGATGGTTAATTTGTGTTTTAATTGATATTGATAGATCTTTTCCTTTTGTGGTGCACACCCCACTTTGCAGGTTGGGAAGATGGAGCTCAAGGCGAGTAGTTCATGAAACAGTCAAGCAATTGATCTGCCTGGCTCCCTGAATGCCATCTGAGAAGCCTGTCAAGAGCTTTGACACTCTTCCTAGTTGGCATCAGGGGAGTCATGCAGACCCAATAAATATAGTACACACACACACACTACTTGACGATTTCAGTTCAGGTGACTTTGTTTCAAAACCTCCATTAACTTCTCCTTCACATGTATATATGTCTTGATTCTCTTTGTCCATGACCATTAATTCCATTCCAGCTTCACGGGTGAATGTCTTTTTTCTTTCTTTCTTCCATGCATGATCATCTTCAAACTATTCTTCACTTTTCTTTCTCAGAAAAAAGAAATTACACGCGATACACAGTTTGGACATGAAATATTGAAGAGGTGTAATGAAAACTCTTTCTAGAGTTGCAGTAAGAAGCAAGGAAATTGGCCACCTGATCCCCTCAGAAGAAAAAGAAAAGAAAAGAGAAGAAACCTATTTTTTTTTCAGTAGACTAAAATTGCTGCAATTAATTTAAAAGCTGCAGCAGAAGCTACCCCCAGCATGAACTTAGTTGCTTCCTTATTGATCACCAGGCTAAGACCTCTAGATGAGTACTCAGTTCCAAACTTCAGATTGTTCAGCCCTTTGAAAACTCCAGAGAAGTCCAAAGGCTGAGTGTCAAAAATTATTCTTTTAGTTGTTCCTTAGCTGTACTTTCCATCGTAACCCAACTGGGTCTAAAGAGAGCCATCACTGGTTAACTACCAAAAAGAAAATGATAACATGGAGGCTTTGGCAACATACAAATGCACCTTGAAGAGAACAAATTAAAACTGCTTATAGATCTTCTTGATTAATTGTTATTGCCTTGCATCGTCGTTTCTTTTTAGGAAGAGAGAAGAGACTGGTTTCTCAGATGAAAGCCTGAAACTACATCAACCAATAGAGCGGCTATCTCGTGTACGTGATTAAGGAGAGAGCTCCATTGGAGATGGACTTAGACAGAGAAGCTACAGGTATGTATTATGATTATTGATGGTTAATTTCCTATACCAATATGATTTGAGACTTGATAATAGTTTATAGCTATAGCAATGTTAATTTTACAGCGTTTAGAAGTTAGAACAATAAGAAAATAATTCATGGGTGTTCACTCAACCGAGGCACCTTGGAGTCTGTACTTTGGTAAATACATTGAATGGGTCTGAGATTCACAGATATGTGACCTGTAAAGAGAACATGGGTGTCTTCACAAGGACAAGTCAGATGAAGATTCTCAATGATGGGGCCCAACTTTGTTCTTTGCTATTCAAATGCTTGTGTCAATGATGAAGATCAACAGTGTGGATAACTCCACCAACAGTTCCTGAGCAATCTTGTTTGTTGTTCCAGGATTGGAAAAAGCGAAGGCCTTGGTTCAGACTTCAGAGGAAGAGCTGCAGATGCTTTGGATCATCAAAATGCAATATTCCAATTGAAAACAGCTCTTTAGTTTTCTAAGGGAATAGTTTTTCTTTTTATTTTTTGTCTTCGGAATTCATTAAGCAGTTGGGACAAGGAAAAGCAACAAGAACAGCCGACCCAGGCAAAAGATTGGTCAATTTAAGCAGGAATCAAAGAGGAAAACACTTACTTTATTTTAAAGCTTGTCAGTTTCTTCACTGATCCACTTGTGTTAAGAGTGAGCATCTGTGTCTGTTCTCATTATAAAACCAGAATCAGAGTCAAGTTGGAGTTTCCAAGATTGACCCACATCCTCAAAACCCCATTCTTATATGAGATGAATCCTGTCCCAGCATTAGCTTCACTTGACCAACATTTCTGATAAACAATAAAGGTAACTAAATGTAATATTAAATGTGAGTGTCTTGTTATTTGTTTACTAATTCATCCAATGTACCAAATGTCAACACTGCACTATCTCAATATCTAAATGTATTTATTATTATTTCATGGGACTACAATTAATATTATAAAAGCCATTGTGTATTTGAGAGACAGAGATTGTGTGTACATGGAAAAAATTAATGATCCTAACTACCCACACCAACACTCCCTCCCAGACATGCATGCAAACCGGTCAATGTAACCTAGATCCATCTATGGATTAATTTTTTTAAAGAAAAAGAAAGCTTTGTTGATGCAAATAAAAAAGGGGCAAGAGATCTGACCCTTTATTGATGCAAATAAACAGAAAGCTTTATAGAGCAAAATTTGTTCTATATACCAGTAAAAGAACTAAGAATTAATTAAACCCACCAAATAGATGTTAATGAAGTTAAGTGTTGAGATTATTTTTTTTTTCTTTTGTTTTTGATATTTGGAGATACACTTGAATCCTTATAGGAGTTCACATTTGCGCCCCATGAGGGGAAGGGGGCACCCCACAATGCTCCACAGCACATCTCCTGATAATTAATGCCATATCATCTTCTATATTATTATCAGGAAGAAGATGTTCCCAGTATAAGATGGAGATGTGTTGTGGGGCACTCCCTTGTGGGGCGCAGATGTGAACTCTTATAAGAATCGTTGAATTCCTTGTTTCCAAAATCGGAGTTAATGAAAATCTAATCCACATCTCTATTAGAACAAACCAGCTAATCTACCAACTGACCCACTCCTCGATTTGCTGAGTAAAGCAAATTATGTAATGCCCAACATCATCATGCCATGTCTATAATTATAAACAATGTATAGGACGAGTTCATCACATCTGCAGATTCCACCACCTATAAGCTATAAAGCAATGGAGGATACAGGGCCAATCATGTCAGCCTGATGTGGGAACCCACATATACAGAGCTGACTTGGTATAGCTTGATTGGACCAGTATCACGGGTAGAACTGTAGAAAAATTCCAGCTCTAGCTCTCCTCCAAAGGTTGCATGGAGTACAATTCAAATCCACAATTCAGTTAAACGTAGGCATAAATTTAATATATATGCAACTCATACAACATATAATACAAATAGTATATTGAATCGCATGATTGGAGTAAACCTGAGAGAAAGTGGATTGATTCCCATTGAGTGCGTTGCACATGCAATGCCTGTAGAGTACGTGCAGCAGCATCAACAAAAACAAAAAAGTTAGAATATTGATCAAGTAGTGCTTTTTTGCTTTAGGGCTTTTGCTTTTAAATAACAGTACACACGCTTCCCGGAGAATGGCTGGTAGTATCATATAAAGCACAACAGGCATATAGTAAATATGTGGAAGTTGGGTCCACCTTATTTCAAAAAAGATGCTACAAAACAGGAGGGAAAAGAAATGCAATCGGAATTCTGGATTGTAGTTGGCTATATATACTGAGAAATGCTGAGTCCTCAGTTTGGCTTTGGAGAGAGGAATTAGGGACCACTATTTTACAGATCTTGGTGTGGCATATACATGTCAGAGGCTCAATTTGCAAGTACAGAATGAAATTAAATCAGAGAGGCTTTTAGTGAAATAACAAAAAAAAAAAAAATGAATGGTTTCTAGATTTTAGTGCAACATTCTAGGCTGGCAAGGAAATGAAACAAGCCTAAAGTGTTATTATTTTGGAACTAAGATTGGAAAAAATAAAATGAAATACAAATTGTTAGAGAATAGAAAACTTATTAAGGGCCTCATATATTAGCTTAAGCTTTTAAGCTTTTAAGTTGAATGGGGTTGTCGCTTTCGTTATAATTAATTAAAGGGAAATTATCAAAAACTTATCATGAGTTTTCAGCATTTCTCTTAAACTCACCACAACTTTTTAAAATGTCTAAAACTCACTATGCCACTAACTTGACGTTAAAGAGACTAACGATTGCTAATATATTACTATTTTAACCTTCATAGAAAATATAAAATATATACATATATTTTAATAATTAGATATAAAAAAAGGAAAAAAGTTCAAAAAATATTTTCAAATATAAAATACATAAAAAAGGAAATTGCAAAAATATAAAAAATTATAGAAATTGCACACAAAATAAAAAATTATTTTCAAATTATAGAAACTAAAGAAATTAGAAAACAAAATCAGAAAATAAAAATTGTAGAAAGAACACCAAAATTATAGAAAAACACAGAAATTGCAAATAAATAACAAAAAATACAGGAAATTTTATAGATAGTAGAAAATAGAAAAATGTAAATAAAAACAGAAATTATAAAAAAACATTAGAAATTATAACAAAACACTAAAATGTAAAAAAAAAAAGGAAATTGAAAAATGAAAAAAACCCTTTTCCTCTAACTCGCCATTCAAGGGTGATTTGGTCATAAAAATTGTTATTTATACTGATGTGGACATCTCTGTTAAGAAACATTAATGGTGCACTAATGGAAGGTGACTTTTAGAAAATAAAAACTTACTGACATGGTGAGTTTTAGAAGTTTTGAAAAGTTGTGGTGAGTTTAAGAGAAATGTTGAAAATTCATGGTGAGTTTTAGACAATTTCCCTTAATTAAATTTCAGCATAAGGTATGAATGAATCAGTGTTTGTGAAAGACTTTGACAGTGGCAACGTCTCATGAGCTTGTGTCAAGTTTGGACATTGGGCCTAAACTCTTTCAACAGCCCAGATGAAGACTTTTTTCACCCAATTTTTTCTCTTGTTGATAAATAGATAAGAAGAGTTGTTAGAAGGAAGAATTTTCTCAAGAGTAATCTCTTCATTGTGTTGTATCCTTTTTTTTTTTTTTGAAGGTAATGTGGTGTATCTTGTGAGGCACTTTTGGATCTCTACTTATAGAAACTCCCAATTGAACATTGGGTTCTCGAAAAAATAGGGAGCAACTCTAGTTCTTCTTCTAAGAACCTTGGGGGCTGGATTTTTTTTAACCAAAATAACTGCTTTAGTGGACCAAGTTCAAAGAGAGATAAGAAAGACCAGATTTTAGTTTTTATAAGAAAATAATAATAGTATAGGGTATTGATAGTATGTACATACTAGTTTTCGTAGAGCAAATACTCCATCAATCATGTGATAATTCCCGTCGGCTTGGGGTAGTGCCACACATTGAGGATGACATCAAAGTCCATTGAACTAGGAAGTGTTTGGTACAGTCGTGTTGTATTGTTATTGTGTTTTGTGTTGATCGATACAGATTTGAGAAATATATCTTGTATTTGAAGGGTTGTCTGGTTATTTAGAGTGCTTCAAAGCAACTGAATCAGCATTGATACGTCTTCAGCTCAGTGCCATTAATGAACTAAGGACTCCATGTTCCACACTCTGTGCTTACCGAACCACGAGGGTTATTGATCATCAGTCTTTGCAAAGCCAAGTATATTGGTGTCCCTAATAAAGTGGAGGTAGGGTCTGTCATTGAACTCTCAGAATTTGAACTATAATGTTAAAGGATCACTCTCCAACGCTCAAACAATTCCAAAAATTATAACATTTGTTTATTTTTTCTTTAACAACCGTTAGATTTCTGAGTCTAAAAAGTAAATCGACTTTATACTCCTTTTACACTCTCGTGTGTTTGGACGATGATGTGAAAGATAGCATCACTTAAGCCTTCTATTGCTCAATCCCTCTCCTATTTTTTTCACTCCAACAATTGAGCATGATCTTCAAAAGCCTAAGTTGCAGTTGGGATTAAATGCTTTCGTTTTCATCATAGAACAAAAACCCCTATTTTTCTATGATGAATCAGTTGATGAATGATGAATAGATGTTAACTATTTGCAAGAAAGTAAGAAGGAAAAGAGGAAAAAGAACAAGAGCTTCATAGGATTTCTAGTCAAAATCTAATCAATTTGGGAATGAAATCTGACTTTGGTATCAAAATCTGCAGCACCCCCGATAGCAATAGCAGACCACCCCCCCGTCAACGTTTCTGCTGTCCCAAGAGCAAGAGGACACCACTTCATGGTTCATGGAGTGCAGGGGACCCTATCCAAAACCTCTAAGCTTGTCAATTTCCTTCCCACAGCCACAGGTACCTTAATTACTCACCTTTGAGATGCTCCTCCCATCGGTTTCCGCCAACGGCAAGTGCTCTCCGGTCAGCATTTTGATGATGGATGCAGTACTCATGCTCCTCTGTGCATTCTTCTGTTTCTTCTTCCATTTCACTGACAGTTTCCGTACTCAAGACGGCAAAGTCATCTACGGCTTCGTGACTCACAAAGGGTTAATGGTCTTCAAGTCGGATTGTAACCTGCAGGTTCCAGACGATGAGCGGTTTAAACTTTAAAATCGGGATAACGGAATGAATTCTGGAGCTTCTTTGCCACTAGGCTCTTCTTTGTCACAATTCGGCTCTCCCTTCGGAGGTGGGTTTAGATCTGCCTTCGGAGGTGGATTCAGATCAGTTGCAGCGGCAGAGAGAGAGAGGAGAAGAAGAAGAGAGAAGGAGAAGAGAGAGAGAGAGCGAGAGAGAGAAGAAGAAGAAGAAGAAGAGAGAAGGAGGAGAGAGAGCGGTTAATTTTATTTACATCGACTACCGATGTAAATAAAATTCAAAATGAAAATTTACACCGATTTTCGATATAAAATTAAATGTTTACCAAATGCATGTACCCCGGGTTCGATTTTCCACCCCAAACAAACATAGCCTTAAAAAAATTATAATGGATTCAAACCTTCCCATCACATTTTCTCTCCAAACCCTACCTCTTATACTACTACTTATCTCATTTTCTTATTTAATTTGCTCCCCCTGCCATTGTTTTGGGTTAAACTGGACCTGAATCCCCAAATTGGCACTACCATTGCCAAAGCTTCCCCTAGTCATTTTCTAATTCTTATTCAATGATTTTATTTTATTTAATGTTCCTCGAGATTGATTTATTTACAGCAAAATGGAGAAATATCTACTACGCCAAGATGTAGCAAGTAGCCTTGGGCTATGTTCCAGTTTTAATAAAGAAAAGAAAAGGATAGAAGAAAG